GCGAGGTTTCTCCAATCATTGCTTTGGCGAACCGCTTGTCCTCTTGGTCGAAATTATTGCGTAGCGTAATTTACGTTTGTCGATTCGCGAAGCTTTTACCGCGACGTTCGTATGTCTTAGCGTCCGATTACGACTATGCCGAGTTGCTAGTATTGCGTGAACTTCAACGTGCGCATTTCTCGGAAGAAATTACAAGATTACAATCGAATAGAGCTTGTAGTCGCGCCTTTCAACGCCTTAAGCCATTTTTACAGGATGGGATTGTAAGGGTAGGTGGACGCTTGTCCAACTCGCAGTTGAGTTTCGACCAACGGCACCCTATAGTTTTACCGCGTAAAGACCATATCATGAATTTATTAGTCGATTACCATCGTTAATTGAATTCGCACGCTGGCCCCGACTTGCTGATGTCGATCTTGCATCAGAATTATTGGATTCTTTCTGCACGTAATTTAATCCGCAATCGGGTGCACAGATGTATAGCTTGCTTTCGGACACGCCCCAAGCCGTTATTTCCGGAAATGGCGGAACTTAGATCTTGTCGAGTAATACAATCAGTAAAGCCCTTTACGCACACCGGGTCTGATTTCGCTGGTCCGTTTAAGGTCACGCTCACTCGCGGGCGTGGTATAAGATCCACAAAGGCTTACGTCTGCATTTTCGTATGTCTAACTACAAGGGCGGTGCATATAGAACTCGTTGGTGATCTAAGCACATCAGGCTTTATGGGTGCATTTAAAAGATTTCTTTCCCGCCGTGGCCCTGTAAGTAAATTGTATTCGGATAACGGTACGAACTACGTCGGTGCAAAACGTATTTTATCATGAGCTCTTAGCTAGCAAGTATTATAATTCGGAGTTCGCTCACATTCTAGCCGAGAACCGCATCGAGTGGTCTCTGAACGTCCCAGCCGCGAGTCCTTTTGGGGGCAATTGGGAGACTAATATTAAGAGTCTAAAGAGTCACTTATACTGAGTAATAGGAGATCAAATATTGTCCTTCGAAGAGCTAAGTACGGTGCTCGCTCAAATTGAATGCGTAATGAATAGCCGCCCACTTTGTCGTACGTTGTCTAGTGACCCTTCGGAGCCACTGGCTCTAACTCCAGCACATTTTTTGAATTTAACGCCTTTAAAGTATTTGCCCGCCGTAGATATGGATGAGAATAGACTTAGCATTTCCGCACGCCACAAATTATTAGACCGGTTAGTGTAATCGTTTTGGAAACAATGGAGGATGAAATACTTGCATACTTTGCAGTTCATAGCATAGTTTGCAGTCTCGGCAAAAATGGAACACAGCAACTGAGCCTTTAACTGTAGGAACTGTGGTTGTGCTCACCAAAGAGAATACGCCGCCTCTCCATTGGCCATTAGGAATTGTCGAAGAGGTCTTTCCCGGTTCCGACGGAGTAATTAGGGTAGCTCGCGTTAAGACCACGGTTGGGTCTTACATGCGTCCTGTTGTCCGTTTGTGTCCCTTGCCTCTTCCATAGTTTAAATTAGCTTTCTAGATTAGAGATTGTAGTTGAATTTAGGTAATCTTAGCGTTAGTTAGTTATTTGTCAGTTTGATCTTAGCTCTAGTTGTTTTAGTTATTTTGAAGGAAATCCTTCAAGGGCCGGGGGGGATGGTTGCGCGGAAAACCATTCGTATTTTATTTATATTTGACGGTAGGCTTGCCAAATCGTTTATCCCTTTCCAAACGATAATATTCCTACCCTCCTATCGACACATCGGGGTGGTGGGGTGGGAGGGGAGAGAAGATGATTCTAGAATATTACGCGATCATCGCAACCGAAGGAATAAAAGGCACGCGCGGCCGACGCGCACTCTCTTCCCGTCGCGCTCGTCGTTGGAACCACACCGCTTAAGACAATAGTGTCATAGAAGGGCTATTGCCCACGCGCACCGCTAGTATAACCGCTTAGCCTGAAGCAGTCGAGCTCCAGGAAACCCGCCTCACTTCGTGTGAGAAATAGTCGCGCACCGCACTCTCTCCCGACATATCACCGGACAAGAAAGCATTTCTGGGGCCCCAGAGTGTCTTCCAGAGGTCGCAGCGCAGCAACATAACATAGTGCCCAAGCCGCATAAAAGCAACACCCCGGTGAGTGAACATTCCTACTAGTTCCTGCTTGATATAATTGTGTTTAATAGTTAATCCGCTCCAATTTCATTTTCTCCTAATCAAGCTTCCAAATCAAGCGTTTTAGGGAAGAGCGAGTGCATTGCATGGGAAACCGCGTGCTATAGTCGCCATTTTGTGTAAACGAAGAAGCATTTCGCATATACAGTCCACTTGGGTTTAACATCTCGCGTAATAGGCTCAAGGCTCGACCGGGAATTGGACTTCGGTAACCTTAGGCTCGTCGCTCCACCATATATATATAAAAGACAATCTCCATAGATATATAGCCACCGTAGAGTCTACTTCACCTGAAGATGTATCGCGTAGAGGCATAACACGTATCATATAATAGATGATGGTGTGTCGTTTTAGTGTAGTGGTGTTAGGATTAGTGGTGACGAGGATAGCGCACGCAATAGAGGGAGGGCGGGAGATGCTCTTCAAAAAAGGTAAGACATGTCATTTTATTTTATTACGCGGGAATCTTAGCTAATTTAATTTTTTAACATCTTTAATTCATACGAACGATATTTCCATAGTTACTTGTTTGGCAGGCAGGTTGACAAGCGCAGATTTTTTAAAATAATTTTGAATTGTTTGTGCTCCTGTTTCGGTTTCCCTCTGTCGCCTCTTACGTCATCCATGCACGATATGGGGTAGTGTATTTTCTTACATCGCCACTACACACTTTACTTGAACTTAGCTCCGACCGCATGGACAGTTTCCACGAGCTTGTAATTCATATCGTCCACTGCATTGCAATATTCTAGGCACTGAAAACGGTTTTGTAACGCGAGCTGAAAGGTTTCGCGATTTTGGATTAGAGCATCCTCAAGGTATCGCATGAACTGGTTGTTAATAATGGATGCCATTATTTTAGAGAACAAGGAGGTGATGTCGACAAGCCTATAGTTGGACGGATCAGAGCGGTTACCTTTTTTAGGGATCGGATGCACGAAGGCTGTCTTCCATGTTTTCGGGTCTACGCCTAGGGTGTAGGAGTACCGGAAAAGACGCGTTAAAATCGGTGCCAACTCCGGAACACACGTCTTCAGCACAATAGGAGGGACGCCATCAGGCCCACTCGACTTGTTGACGTCCAGAGAGAGGAGCGCTCTGTGCACTGAGCGTTGGGTAAACAGGATATCCCGCATGGAGCACTCACACCGCGGGATGGTCGGCGGTGTTCCCCCCGTCATCAAGGGTCGAGTTGGACGCAAAGAGAGAGTCCAGCAGATCGGCTTTGTCCTTTGCAGCATGGGTCAGTGAGGCGTCCTCCCTGTGCAGAGATGGGAGAGGTGGCTGACAGAAGTTCCCTTCGACAGTTTTGGCGAGAGACCAGAATGCACGTGTTCCCGAAGGAAAACGAACTAGTTTCTCGCCAATTACGCCGATGTGCTCTGACTTTGACAATGACACTTTTGAAGGACCTGGAGGTAGAATTATACTTCTTTTTAGGAGCGCTAGTATTTGCGTCCCCAGACGTCTATGCGTGAGTCCAGGCCTGGTAGCACTCTTGCTTATGGCGTAATGCAATTTTGCAGGAGCGACCAAAACATGGCTGGGTTCTGCCTCTGATAGGTTCCACAGAAAATGAAATAAAAAGTTCCATTCCCTGTATCCACATCAGCGACAAAATCAGCAACAACGCTGGGATCATCCGGCGAGAAGCAAACTCGCCTCCAAGGGTAGGATGCAATAAAAGATCGCATCCCGTCCAAATCGGCTGACTTATAATACCAAACACGGCGGCAACCTGCAGAACGCAAACGCAATGGAAGCGTGAATGGCACCGTACTCCGCATCAAACAATGGTCCGAGGAGCCAAGACAAGCATCGAGGAGACCTGATATCCGTCCGTGTGAGAGGTCAGCAGAAGGTTCAACAGGAAAGGTACATAATCTTCCACATTTGGGATCCTCGTAGGAGAGGCAAAGTGATAAATAGATCTACCCGCATGATCGGTTAAACGAGAACTAAAGCATTCAGCGTGGCGAGCGTTAAAATCACCAAGCATCACGATCTCTGTGGATGAGACCTGTTATGGCTTGGAGTCTGCAGAAATTTGGAAGTGGTTGATGAGTCGGTCTGTGTCGGGATTACCGCTATGGCACCTATAGAGACACCCGTAGACGCGGGTCGTCGCTGTATACGCACTGCTATAAGATGGACAGGTCCGTACCTTCAACGCTACCGAGGCATCGAAAACAGATGTCCTTTCTGACGTACACGCAATCTCCAGCCCGGGGCACAAAAGAGTGTTCTAATTTGTACCCCGGGTAGGAGAGATGCGAAGGATTAGCCGGATACCTGTGTCTCGGTTGGAAAGAGTAAGGCCGGCTTCACCGTTTCCAGATGGTAGTGGACGGCATTAAGGTTTGAATGAAGTCCCCTGACGTTGCAGAAATTCACGGAGAGCGTGGCAGGGGCGCCTTTACGGGAGCGTTGACGAGCCATCACACGGGTATCACATACCAAAACCTGCCACACACTGTAACCTTACGCAAAAAATACACAAAGATACATCATCAAGCTCCCTTAGGTATATTTTTATTTAGCTAATTTATTAATAAGTTTTATCAACAAGGCTAATATTATACTTTAAAGAAGAAAATAGCTTTTATAATATTACACGAATTTATGAATTTAACTTAAAATTACAACATAATTGTCTTCATTTCCCACCCAAGAACTGTCTAAATTATTAGATTATTTAAAGAATATATATCGACTTTGATAATCATTGAATATAGTTGAAATTATTATGGAACTTCAGTAAAATCTCAATGCTCAATCGAAACTCTATGGTTTAATAATGTCAGATCTCTATCACAAATGAAAAATTGTACATATTTAAACTAATTCCTTACCGGAGGCGGAGCGTTGTGCTCGGTCTGTAACTGAGCGAAGAGTTTGAGTGATAGAGCACGGCCTGTGCCCTCGTATCCAGAAACCGTAGATGAGAGAAATGCGAGTGGCGCTTTCTGTGCTGCAGCCGATACGTGAGCGATAGGGATAGCCGCCGCCTCGTCCACTAGTACGAGGTCCGCAGCCGCTAGTAACGAATGATCATCCGGGGTGATGTACTGTTGAGAAAATCAAAAATTATCAACAAATTACTGGATAATAAAAAAAGACTAAAATATCAGGAGACCTGGTTAACATTTATATGATACTACTGCAAATGTTTATTTTTGCATACATTTAAAATAATATTTTCAAGACCGATTTTCGGTCACGGCAGCCGGTGCCAATGGAAACTAGTCATCTGCGCAGGACAGGATTATCATCATTATCATCATCATCATCATCATCCTTACAGTCCTTCACAAGTCCACTGCTGAACACAAGCCTCCCTCGAGGAATGCCACAAAGCATGGTCCCAAGCAATATGCATCCTTCGATTTCCTGTATATCTTACTATGTCGCTCAATCTGGTTCTACTACGGATATCCTCATTTCTAAGTTTATCACGCAGACAAACTCTGGGCATAGCTCTCTCCATAGATCGCTGGGCGACCTGAGCGTCCTCATACAACCAGCAGTAAAGGACGACGTCTCAGATCCATAAGTTAATACTGGCAACACGCACTGGTTGTATTATCTCGTTTTCAAGTTTTGAGGTATATCTGACGAGAAGATCGATTGATCTCTCGGTAGAAGTTGTATTTACCTAATCGGACTACTTGTCCCAGGTAAACATACTTGTCGACAACTTCGAACTTAGTGCTCCCAAAAACTATACAGCGAATACCAGCGAATTTGCCTTAAGAACTATATCGTCGGCAAATCGAAGGATGTACTCCATTGAAGTTAATACCGTATCCTTTCCAGTCTAGTAGCTTGAAAAGTCTTCCAATGCAGCGGTGAAGAGTTTCTGGGATATAACTTCACCCTGTCTTACACCTCTCTGCAGTTGGTAGGTTTCGTAATCTGGTTCTGTACTCGAAAGGCCATCGTAGCCCTTCTATACAAACACCGGATTATAGTGCAGGAATATAGGCGCAAACACAGGGTCACTCTATATTTCCTCCCTCTCATAGTCCGATGGGACAGCAATCCGACACGACCGGAGAGAGACCGGGTAGATCAGACGCGAAACGATTCTTACATGCTTTCCGAGGCACGGGAGTGACAAACTTTTAACTTCCCAACTCTAGGTCGACCTCAGTTGAATTAAGAATTAACAGAAAAACTTAGGAACAACACACCGCCAACAAAAAACCGTACCATCCTCTCCTCTTTGTTGAAAAATTTCAATTATGACTTTTTTTACTCAGCATATTTTTTAACAATTGCTCAATTGTGTTGATTCGGACAGCGATCTAACAGACTTAGGAAACATTACATATATAAGATGAATGTATAATATTTCTTTTCCCATGGTAATTTGATGTAGTTACGCAAGAAGATCGAACCGATAATTGGGTCCTCTATCTATAAAAAAAATATAGATCTTTTGCCTGCCCAAGGTTCTCCGCCATTTCAATAACAAGTAATAATAAATTTCATAAGCATCACTTACTTGCACAGTCTGCCGAGAGTTCCTCGCAACATTAACTCGAACAATGGCCTTCTTGAAATCGGGATTAGTCGACCTCACAATGTTGTAATCAATGTGTTCCTGATACAAGCACGCATCGAGCCCTTTCAGCACAAACTCGAATAGTGTGATAAGGTTCTCTGGGTGTGGCGAAGTGACGTATATGTTGACGTAGCCCAAAGCTACAGCCGCCGCTACAGCCAAGCCGAGGCAAGCGGATTTACCGCGCCCTCTGGCGGCCGTGAGGCAGTGTGGAGGTCTGGAAATAATATTAACGTCAGAGTATGTTCGGAATATATCATACCATGCTCTAGCTTTTTTATAGAAAATACTGTACATATTTCTAGAGGATGCAAAAAAATCAAAATCCAAATGTGAAATATTAATAAGATCGCAGGGTACTTTGTGGCGAACTGTAGGTAAGTGGCAAGACCAAGGGTTATATCAGAGTTCTCCAAGGGAGTTTTAAAATTCCTCACACCTAGCTTGCCGTAAGATCTTTATGCCAGACGGGTGGAGGTGTAAATTGCCATAAAGCTACGAGAACGGCGACTGTAAAAGTCCGTAGATTCACTTCTCTATACCCTTACGCCGATTGCATTTAGTTAAGATTGTAGTGTGACATTTGGTATGGCAAGCCACCTTTGAATTATTGAGCACACTTCAATAGCCCAGGATGCTGGGCTATTGAAGTGTGCTCAATATGTCAAAGATAATCCATCAACCACACCAATCCTAAAGCCTAACGCTTTATTTAGTTATCCTCTTTGTTGTTTAAAGTTTGTGTAAACTGAGCTTTTCTTCAAAAACATTTTTTGAAACTATTTGAAATTATATTGAAACTATCTTTGTTTTGCAGAATAGAGCTATAAGAGCAATTTATAACAAAGGTCAATAGGGATCCGTTACAGAAAATTTTAAAGAAATATTTCTATTAACTTTCTATTTAAGATATATGTAATGTTGAAAAAACTCAGAAAAAAAAGTTTTCTTAAAAATAGTGATGTACTTTCTGTAAATACTAGGAAGAAACACAAGCTAATTATATCAGTTACTCGACCCCCAAAGAGTCAGTAGTACCTTCGTGGGGCAATGTATAATACACTCTCTTTTACAAGTCCAAGAAATTATGCGGGAACTATCTATCAAAAGGTTTAAAATTTTTACTAAGTGGAAATTGTTTACTAAAGGTTATTAAACTACTAAAAAGTACGTGATTGATAATAGACCCTGGGAATGTGGTGATCACTACCACGCTGTTTCTATTATATAGTTAATTGTATAAAGTATTACACTGTAAATTAATGTTTAAAAAATGAAGTCCCGCTGGGTTTCTTACTGAATATTCCCAGGAAAGAGTTTTTTTCGAAACAGTGGTAAAGCTAAAATGATTTTACAAAAAGTATTTTAATAATCTAAATTGAATAAATATGATTCTATTCTATTGAATATGGGGAAGAGTATACGACTAGAATAAACATCACATTACAAAGTAAATTCATCAAAATGTAATACCCGGTAAGAAATTTCCATGCAAAATTCTAATATATTGTTACGAGCTTAGGGTTCGTGACAATAAAAACTGCCGATTGAATTACCAAAATTGACACATTAATTACCGAACACCAATTAAAACTAATACACACTAATAATTAATCACACTTAACACTTTAGTTCACTTTATTTCGCTCCTAAGTCTTCACTTGTATCGCCAATACTAATATTTCGGTCGCGGCACTTAAAGGTTTTATAACTTTTCCACCGAAACATCTAAATATTCCAGCAAATACCGGTCCCGACCGACTAGATGTAGAAAATTCGAGTGTGGAGTTATCTAGAAAGCTTAGTTCTTCTATTCGATAATAGATGGCGCTAGTGCCATGTGCCAGACGTCAACTGTGGTGCGCAACAATATTCTAAAATAAACTAAGAAATTTCAATAAATATATTAAAAAATACCTTGACTGTTTATCTGCGAGTGTGTTTATAAGTGCAACTAGTGCCGTCGCCTGGTCGTACGTGCGACAGAGAGCAACCAACGGACCAGCAGGTGGTGAATCCGAAAGGGAAGTTATCAATTCCGTTAGTTTGGGGTTTATACGCTGAAATGATAAATTAAAGAAAATTAAAAATACTTTTCGTGTAGAGGCGGTATAAGAGTATCCGCTACCCAATATCTTTTCGTGGGTGTCGTAAGACAAGACAAGGAAATTTCTCTGTTGCCTCTTAAGCAGCAGCGTCAGCCGAATAACAACTAAATTGGCGGGTTAGCAACTGCAGATTTTTATTATTTAGTAAGATGCTGTTGCCCATCTCCTGTTTGATGTACACTTGACGTACACGGCAAAATGATATTAACAGAAAATTATGTATATATTTTTACAAATACCAAACTAGTCACTTTGCACATAACACTCCTAGTAAGTGAAATCATATCACCATCATCATTATCATAGTTACATTATGCTCGGGGTTTCTCTGAATGATAAACATAGAAATGAGAATATCCGACTTAGCCCAACGGATTACATAGGCTGAACTAAAAGTATCGGGAATGGAATATTTCCACTGTTCCTGTCATATTAAAATCTTTTTAATTGAAAACTCCTTGGTTTTAAAAATCGAATACCATTTATTTATTTAAAAAAAAGATTCTCGGTCTTCGTCACAGTTTTGTCATACTTGTTTAGTCGTTGAGAAAATGGAATTGACTCGAATCAAGAGCGATGATTTATTACGACTTTCGAAGTGGTTTACACAAAAACATTTCCGGATGATTTCTGTATTTGGTGATGGAAGCCCCATCCAAAACCACATTTTATCGCTGGTTTGCTAAATTTCAACGTGGACGTGTCAAGCTCAGTGACGATCCCCGTCAAGGTCGTCCAAAAAATGCAGTCACCCAAGAAAACGCTGATGCTGTGCGTAAGCTGATTGAGGAAGATCGACATGTGACTAACCGCGAAATTCAGGCAACTTTAGACATTGCCATGAGTCAAATACAAATAATCTTGCATGAACAATTAGGTGTAAAAAAGTAGTTTTACCGATGGATACCGCATTCGCTCTGTGAAGAGCAAAAAGCGGCTCGCGTTACTTGGTGCGTCAGAACTCTCGAAAGATTCCACGCAGGATCCTCAAATGCTGTATACAACAATGTATCAGGTGACGAATACTGGATATACGCGTACGAACCCAAAACAAAAAACCAGTCACGAGTTTGGGTGTTCGAAAATGAGTTAAAGCCAACAAAAATTGTTCCTTCACAGAGTGTTTCAAAAAAAAAATGGTGGCCACATTTATCTCCAAAACCGGCCATGTTACGACTATTCCTCTTGAGGGACAAAGAACGGTTAACGCAGAATGGTATGCTAGCATTTGTTTGCCACAGGTCGTTTCTGAACTCCGTAAAGAGAACTGCAACCGCCGCATCATCCTCCATCAGGACAATGCGAGTTCTCACACCGCACACAGAACAAAAGAGTTTTTAGAGCAAGAAAACAGAATTATTAGCCCCTCCGCCGTACAGACCCGACCTAAGCCCTAATGATTTCTATACTTTCCCTAAAAAAAAAAAAAGAATAAATTGCGTGGACAGAGATTTTCATCACCTGAAGAAGCTGTGGACTCCTTCCATTTTGGAGACCCCAACTTCCGAATGGAATGGTTGCTTCAATGATTGGTTCCATCGTATGGAAAAATGTGTCAAATTTCGCGGAGAATACTTCGAAAAGCAATAAATACATTTTTAAATAGTATTGTTGTGTCACTTCCTTGATTCCCGAAATTTTCAATGCCGCCCTCGTAGTAAGCTGAAGTGGCAATGGGCCGGCCATATAGCTCGAATAACCGAGAATCGATAGGGAAAAAAGGTTTTCGAGTGGCCGTCTCGCACCGGTAGGCGTAGTGTATAGAGTGACGGATAGAGTGACGACCTGGTAAGACATGCAGGAAGTCGATGGATGCAGGTGGCTCAGGACCGTGCTTTGTGGCATTCCTTGGGGGAGGACTGTGTTCAGCAGTGGACTTGTGAAGGGCTGTAGTGAAATCATATAAATGTATAGAATACATACATACCTCTGGTACAACATCCACTGGCTCCACTTGTGCTGTCTTCGATGAAATTGGCAATACAGTGAGAGAGTCATCCAACACCAGGCAACGAGGATTGTCGGCGAGAGATAGCAAGAAACGCTCATTGAACCGATTCACCACCGTGTCATATGCCTCTGTTTTAAATCTGAAAAAAGTAAATGCTTGAATATTTGCCGGGGCAATTTATGTAAACAAATCCTTCGCCTTAATCCGTTTAATCCGTAAAAAGTAGTTAATAATTTATCTCTAGTTTAAAGTTGAGTCTGTTTCAATAAAGATGTCTCGCAGAAAAATGCGAAATAAAATGTTGTATAAAATTACGTAAACGCTAAATTTCGTAAAGACTGTGACGCCGCGGATAAGGGACGTCTTTAGTAAGTAATACTATCAATATCTACCTTTATTTAGGTTTTTAATTACTGTTCTCTTTTTTTTCTCCTAAGATCTTATTATATGAACCTATTAAGGTGAACGCACACTATACGAGCCAGAAGCGTCGAACGAAGCGAATTTTCAAATTCTTTATATAAAATCATATGAACCACCAACACCTGCCCGTGTCGAATCGTCAGAATCTGGAAGAACCCCAGAAATCAAATTACTAGAACCACCGTATTATCAAAACAAGAGACTACTACTAATTCTTAACTTTTATTAAATGAGTGATTTTAATTTATTTTAATTAGAACTTTCTTCACCTTCCATTAATAAAGCACTGACAATAAAAATCTGGTCAAAATCATGGTCCTGATCAAAATTTACATGTAATTACAATGTGACAGGTGTAGAGGAAATGGAAACTACTTTTTCGGCGCGGTCGATTTTTTTCGTGCTGATAGGTCTCCTAGACTTCGATTTGTTCGATGCGTTCGGCTCCGAAAAATGTGCGATCACTTTTATTAAGCTGTAATCAAGAAGATGCTGCTGCCGGTCTGTCTGTTTATATGTGCTGTTATACATATTATTTCATATTTATGCTGATATTGGTAGTGATTATATATCCAGATAAATAATCGTGATTTGTCGTTTAATTCTTTGGCCAATCAATTTCGCCGTGTTAGACGCACTACCATTTGACAACACGTGCATGGTTGACAACAATTTAAAGATGAAGAGAAACTTTTTTACGTGGTAGAGCCACGCTGTAGCTATCTGATGGTTGTAGCATGAATGGGTCGGCTCGACCGGCGAAGGACCACGCTCTCACAGAATACCAGCGTAAAATAGCAGCTTAATACTGTTGTGTTTCGTATGGTGAGTGTAGAGAACCGGTGACCGTTTTACTGGAATCGAGGCATTCCATCTTAGTCCTCAGGGGTGACAACACATTTTGATTCTTAATCAAGTTTAAATTTAAATGTCTATGGGCCACAGCATCCACTTACCATCAGGTGGACTGTGTGCTCGTTTGTCAACTTTGTCCTATAAAAAAAACTCAAAGATTGTCACTATCATTTAGTTCAATTTCCGACCAGAATCTATGCAGAGAAACAAAGAAGCTATCGTAAGCATTACTACCATGTTACAAAAGTAAATAGTGATGTACTTTATGGTGAAGCTCAAAGGGATAATAACGTCATCATAAATTAAATATGGCAGACGTGAATTGCAAAAGCTAGCGAAATTATGATAAGAGAATGCATTACATTTGGTATCATATGAATGGTATTAATGTACCTTACAAATCCATACATATAAATTAAATTGTAGTGTCTGTCTGTAATATTCAAATTATTTTACAACTTATATTGAGCACGCTTGATTTGCATGACATTAATATATGAATAATATTGTTACGAGCTTAGGGTTCGTGACAATAAAAACTGCCGATTGAATTACCAAAATTGACACTTTAATTACCGAACACCAATTAAAGCTAATACACACTAATAATCACACTTGACACTTTAGTTCACTTTATTTTGCTCATAAGACTTCACTTGTATCGCCAATTCGATTCTGCCCCAGTAGCGGCCTTAAACGGCTTTATATAGGCCTTTTTCACCGAAACATCTAGAATGTCCCGACCGACTAGATGTAGAAAATTCGAGTGTGGACTTTTCTAGAAAGCTTAATTCTTCTATTCGATACTAGATGGCGCTGGAGGAGGAAAGTTCAGGCACGACATTTTCTAGAAAGCTCTCCTCGCTCTGCTCCCCGACAATAGATGGCGCTAGGGGCATCAATTATGGCTTGCTACAATATTTCTTAAATTTTTGTCTGTTTGTCTGTCTGGCTGTCTGGGCTAGTCTTTAGAATGACTGGAACTTCACCAACTGGTAGAGTGCAATGCGAGGAGGGTACTAGACTATAGTTTTATCCAAAATGTTTCGAGTTCTTGTTTTTAAGAAACGAAAAATTGAGAAAATAAATGGTCTTAGATTATCATGAATCTAAATAACGCTACATTAGAAGATTCTACCCAGGCGAAGCCGGAGCGAATCGCTAGTTGAAGGTTTTTTATTGTTTTGCATATCTTATATTACCTAGTTACTCATATATAATTGTAGTTGGATTCTGTATTTTTTTAGTATTAAGTTTTTCATGAATTTACTTTTTTTATAGCAGAGAGGGCAAACGGGCATGCGGTAATGCGGCTCACCTGAGGGAAAGTGTCGACCACCGCCCATGAACGACTATAACACCAGTGGAATTGCAGGTGGTTACCGGCCTTTTTAAAAGGAGTAAGCTTGTTTCTTGAAGGTCCCTAAGCAGTATCGGTCGGGAAAAATCGCCGGTGGTAAATGATTTCACTAAGTAGTCGTGAGAAGAAAACTCTTAATAAATCGCACAGTAATGGACCGCCAATCATCCAGTTAATGTCGATGGTAACGTAAGTTTTGCCGCTTACCTGCCCTTCATTTTTAATTACTCGTACCTCATACTGACAACACTAAAATTATAAAATATTACGAATGCATGATACTTATATTTAATACATTACCTGGAATGAACATCCATAGTGATAGAATGCAATTGCCTTAGTGAATCCATTGTTTTAAGAAGGAAAATAATAAGCCCTCCACCTTCTACTGTTTCAATTGTACGGGCCATCAAGTTAGGTGTAAGAGCTTCAAAATCCTAAAGAAGTAAATAAGTAATAATAATAAATCCTCAATAAGTATTATACTGACAATATTATTTTGCTAATTAAATGCTAACGGAATCCACACAATATTTAGCCATAAATTACATGCTGTGTTTATTTTATAAGTTTGATTCTCCAGAATCCTCTATACAATTTCGCAAAAAACTGAAGGATAATTATAATTCACACATTTTCACCACATTTTCAATAGAGAAAACGATTATTACTAATGATAGGTAAAAGATATTGACCATAGATTTTATTTTTTATCACTCTCAAGCATAAAAACTGATATAACTGCCACTCAGCATTTTATTAGTGTGGTGGTGTAAATAATTTTATTGAAATTGACACTGTGAAAACATTAGGAAACAAGTGTTATATAGAGTTTGTTGGTTATAAAATACCTACCTACATTCAAATAAATAATCTTTCTTTAAAAACTGTTACTAAACCATTATCCTATACCATCAAAATGAAATATATCATTAAACATTTAAAATGGGCCTACTGTTGGCAATGGCACCAGTGCCTGAATGTATTTCACATATATCTTGTTAGAAAATCATTTACGTAAATAGAATAGGGCCTGAAACGTTACCTTACAGGATTTTAAAAAGTCTATTGAGTCTATTAGTGTGGGCAGTACCAAAATAAATAATTATGACACAGTCATGTGGGATTTCTAGGATAACTCCTTATATTCAAATAAGAAAATATTTTGGCTTAGGCGTAGTTCAACTTCCCTAGATTAATAGTTGTGACAGAATCAAATGCTCTAGCAAGATCCAAAAGACCAAAAGGCAATGTTTACGTTAATCTATAGGAATTATGATATACATATGTCAAAATCTGAGTTGATTTATTTCAGTTCAATTTTTGGAGACTTCCAGGGAAATGCAGACAATTCTTGAAACCCGAAAAATTTATTATTTCGAGAAATGAGAACATTAAAATCAAAATTTTGTGATTGTACTTTAAACAAAGTATGGATTACTTAAAAAATATATAATTCAACTTCACCATAAGATATTGCCTGAAATTCATATGAGAATGTTAGATTATACTGTGATGTAAGATCTATTGAAAAATAATAAAATCAGTTAAATAAAGAAACCAAGCTCGAAGATACAATGATGATGATCAGATTTTCTTGAAATTTATATGGGACTAATGTTGACATATACGAGGGGACATTTTAAAGTTCGCGGAATGGGGGGTAAGGAGTGGAAATAAAAATCGAAATTTATTTTCCCTTTTCAATATATTCACCTGCTACCCTAATACATTTTCCGGATCTTTCAATTAACTTATGTATACCCTCAAAAAATGATTTGTCTTTGTCTAAAAAATACGCCAAATCTGCTTACTTCACTTCTTCATCACTTAAAAACTTTTTCCCACGAAGATCGTTTTTTAAGTTTGGAAATAGATAATAATCACTGGGGGCCAGGTCTGGACTATAGGGTGGGTGTGGCAAAATTTCAAAGCCTACCTTCTGCAGGGCAGCCATCGCAACATGGCACTTGTGAACAGGTGCGCAGTCGTGCAGAAGAAGGATTCGTTTTGGTCAATTTTTTCCTTTTCCTCCTTTATGGCTTCCTTCAATTGTTCTAGGATTGAAGCATAGTAATTTCTGGTTATGGAGACATCTTTATCTTTAGAATTAATCAATAGGATTCCTTCTGAGTCCCAAAAGACTGTCACCATGATTTTCCCAGCCGATTGTGCCACCTTAAATTTCTTGGGTGGTGGTGTGCCTTTTTTGTGTCACTGCATAGTTCTGTTTGGACTCAGGTTCATAATGGTGAACCCAAGTTTCGTCACCAATAGCAATTTGAGCCAACACTCCATCCTTGTCTTCCATACAGAGGTCCAAAAATGCACGAGAACATTCCACAAGCTGTTGCTTTTGAGGCGGCATGAGCATTCTAGGCACCCATCTTGCGCTGACTTTAGTCACGCCCAGATGTTCATGAAGAATTTTGAAAATGGTTGTATCTGATACTCCAATCATTTTTGCGAGCTGTTTTTTCTTTAGGCTGGCATCATAGTGGTCACCTTGATCGTCCTTCCTGGATGTGGGTCGTCTTCAAGTGACTCCCTACCTCGTTTAAAAAGGATATGCCACTTGTAAACCATAGTTTTACTTGGACAAGAGTCTCCGTAAACGGATGACATCAGCTCCAGTATAGTATTAACTGATTTTCCATGCTTGACAAGGAATTTTGTAACAGCACATAACACGATTTTCTCCATATTTCACAATTTCTTCCAAATTGCCTTGTTTGGTTGACGATAACACAAAGACTAATGATATAATTACAATAAAACCGGGTATTGTTACTAATAATGAGTTGCTCAATTAGCATGTAATTCAGCGCCATCCCCACTTATTATCTACATACCCACTCTGCGAACTTAAAAATGCTCCTATGTACTTTATGCATAGATTAAAAAATATTTGTTATCTAACAACCTATAAAATTAATGCAGGTGGTTCAGGACTGAATATTGTGGTATTCCTTGGCCAATGTACAGCAGTGGACTTGTGAAGGGCTATTGTGATGATTATGAACCATTTAATATATCTAAAGTCACAAAATATGTGTTATATACATTAAAAAAGAAAAAACATAGTAGGATTGATAACCTTCTATGTGGAAGTCTGATAAAACAAGCAAAATCAGAATAAGGGAAAGTACTTGCCTGCAATACGCACACACCATATGTCTGACCAAGCATGGCATGACTCTCAGAGTAATATCTTCCATGAATAGTTGTGGCCACTCTGAATGCATCAAACAATGACTCTTCTGACACTTCTAGTTTTCCTGCTGCAATTTTCTTTGCTCTTTTACGTCCATGACTGAAATAACAAAAATTTCATAGATTTTTTAATTTGCTTTCATGTTCATTCTTATCACTTTAGTAAGAGTTTAATTAATAGCATTGGTAATTGCAAACAAATTAATAAAAAGTAAAATAAATACACTACTCAAAAACTAACTTTATGTGCATTTATCCAATATAAATTTAAGTATGTACATAAAAAAGGAAATAAGAAAATTTATTATCCCTTTAACGAAATTTTATTCAAATATTGTAATTGGAATAAAACACATAGTCTTACTTGCTTATAGCTTCATCCTTGTTTTTATAGCACCAAAGCACTGTTGGTCTTGACTTTACACTTGATTTAACAAGCATGTCATATAAAATAGGCACCTAGAAAAAAAAATGTTACTATCCTCAGCAGGTCATCAAAATATGTTTGGTTGAGTTGAGAGTTTTATTTTTTGGTTGTGTACTATGGAATAAACAAAAGCATGTATTTTTATAGTTTTCAGACATAATATAACCTAGATCATGGCATTGCTCACTATCTGTTCATGAAGTCTCATTACAATTGGTTCAGCCATTCCCAAGACTAACCTGGTCAGACAGACAGACAAGCAGTAAAGTAATATAAAGTAAAGTTACAGCCTATATACGTCCCACTGCTGGGCTCAGGCCTCCCCTCATTTCTGAGAGGGTTTAGGGCAAGGAAGTGTCCGCCGCGCTGCCCAAATGCGTGTTGATGAACTTCACATGTCTTCGAAATATTTTTTTTCTTATTCCTCAGACATGCAGGTTTCCTCACGATGTTTTCTTTCACCGCCGAGCATGTGGTAAATCAGCACTTAAAATTGCAATTAACAATTTCATTGGTGCCGGCGGGGATCGAACCCAGGTTACTCGCGTTCTGTTATATTTACAGCGAGCGTTAACCACTGAGCTACCACGGCTCAAGCACAGACAAGCAGACAGACAAATTTTTTAAAAATGATTATGCATGTCTTAATGCACATGACCCCCTTAGCTTAATATAAGGCAGTTATTTTGATATTATAGACAGACACTTCAGTTTTTATAGATGAAAAGATAATATGAGCTAGCCTAGGAGACATTGTTCTGCCCTTTTAGTAGGGTTTATTGAGTTTTTCCGTCAATAAATTCTCAGTAGCTGCCCGGAGTCAGAAAGTTGGCGGTGTCTCACTCCCGTGCCTCGGAAAGCACGTAAAGCCGTTGGTCCTGCGCCTGATCTCTCTCTCTCGGTCATGTCGGTTTACCGTCCCATCGGATTACGAGAGTGAAGGAATAGAGAGTGCACCTGTGCCTGCGCATACACTTGGGCACTATAATCCTGTCCTGTGCCGATGGCTAGCCTCCGTCGAGGCAGGCCACCGTGGCCGAAATTTGATCTGGAGGACATTATTATTATTATTCTTTAAAAAAACATATGAAGATACATTAATTCTTACACATCTTTTGTTTAGCATGATACTGACATAATCTTTACTTCTTTGTACATGCTCTTTGGCTTTGGGGTATTCTTAATTTAACTCTTCTTCAATATATTGTCAATTTGGTTTATAAAGTTCCATCTAAACTTCCCTTACTGACTTTGTCAGCCCAAATACTCAAACACTACTCAATTTTCAGTCAATTTTAAGATGTAGTGACTTTAAGTCAAAGTGACCGTGACACCATAAGAGTTAAGGGCTTAGTCTTAAAATTGAGTAATGTTAAAAATGTGCATGGATTGCTAATTATATTGTGAATTGTACCAGTTTTACAAATAAACTTGTGGGGTTTCATAAAACAAAACTTTTTTTAAGTGTCATCTAATTATATTAGAAAATGAATAAAGAAAATAAAATAAATAAACAAAACAAAACTAAATTCTGAAGAAACATTCTTCAAACAAGAAACAAACTCAACATACAAAATTGACCTCCTCAAAAATTTAAAAACTTTATTAAACAAAGTTTGTATAAAAAGGGTTATTATAATATTAAGGAATTTATGGATGATAGTCACCCCTGGTAATGTGAGGTCACTTTGGTTGACTTCAATGAATAGAAGGAGTTGCTAAGCCACGAGCAATTTCACTTCTTCTGGGCGGAGTACATAATTTCCTAGAGGACTGTTACGTTTGCACATTAAGGGTCCGCAATTAATTAGTATGTGCAGAGGCATTTCTTCCGTTATAGAACAGAACCGACACATCCTTGAGTTGCTTAGTCCCAGGATGGACATGAGCTTTTTAAGATAACAGTAAGTCCAGTTAGGGCACCACCAAGTCACTACCAAGCTATTTTGCATTTTTTTGAAAGGTGAACTGTGTTTCTTGTTGGACAGAGATATTTTCCAGTGGTAAAATAAACATAACAGTGACTTTTAATAAGTATTATTTTTATTATATATTGAATAAAAAGTTTCTGTTTTCATTACTATAAGCCCATAAACTAGTCATGGCTAAGGTGTTAGACAGTTTCTACCATTGTAAACATCTACAGTTAAATTAAGTTTAAAGTAGACTGTTTAGGGATACACCTGGTAGAAAAAACTTATATGTACAAACCACCATCTGATCAAGAATGGACAAAAAATTAATTATGTATAATATAAAAATATTCTTGTTATATAAAAATACATGTTTTTAAGTTATTTGTTTAGTTATTATTATATATTAACCAGACAGATATGGGTGGCAATGCATCTGAATTTTGAATCTCAATCGAGGTTAATACGTAGGAGTCCATTAGGCGTAGCATCCGCATACCGCCAAGTGGAATGTGCGCTTGTCACATTTTCCTCAATAAGAAACACAGAACTCAATATTAATGAAAGAATGAGGATAAGGAAACCAAATGGATGTAAACTTATTGAAAATTGCCAAACCCCAATCCTACAGACGCATATACAATAGCAGCACCACTTGGGCGATGATGTAGACTCTGCGCTCGGCAATCATCTTGGTGTCTTCTCAAACGATGCAATCAAAAGTCTTAGATTAAGGAAAGCTGAATATGGCCTCATTAATGAACAAGATACCAATTTCTAAACATTACCTGATCTCTACTCTTATCTCCTACAAGCAAAAACATGGTACGGTGTCCTAATTTGACACCGTTTTCTATCATGACACGTATACGATTATCAATTTTCTTCTTCACCATATTTTCGGATTTTACGACAACACAAAAGTAAATACAAATAGTAACCTAAAACAAACCGCACGTTCACCACCATATAATATTTGTAGCAAGTTATCACAGACACATTAGCTTGCTACATATTTATTTATCTATGTTGACACTTGACAGTTTTCAGTATAGGTGTATTATTTTGGACTTTTGGCTTGGATGCTTATCCTTTAAGCTATTTCTTCATTTTATACGGGATATTAGTTTTTATAGATTTTTTCTTCACAATATACTGATGCATCACAATGTGAAGTTTTTGAGAGATTTTGACGACATTTCAACCCAACGGCCAGCCGATGACGAATACCCAAGTTCATAAGGCGCTTAAGTGATCAAAATAAATTGAGGTTTATATCAACATCGAAGTACTTGTTTCGTACTTTTCTCTAATAGTTTACATATGCAGACACTTAATACTAGCAACACTTTTATGTATAAAAATCAACTTAAAACTATTACTTAAATTTTGAACGATAAAACAGGACAATCCGTCGGTGGTCAAGTCCCCACCAAAACTCCCATTAAAGGTGTACGTTCCCTATTTCCCAAGGTATGTTCAGATTAATTACTACAAACAAAAGTATAAAGTTCATTCATTATTCCAGCAGCTTTATTAATTTTACTGCGGTCGACCATTTCCGCTGTAGCAATTTCATTTACTGACTACAACCATATAACACTATCTATTATGAAATTTTAAAACATTCTTATGTTACATTCAGATCTTCTATGTTCCTTAAGTAATCATAATATCACCTAAGGTACAAAGTTGATCCGCAATACTTTACAGAGTTTTAAGAGCGTATATTCAAATTTGCGCAAGTCAGAATCGCTCTAGAACGGCGTAATATTGAAGAAAGGAAGAAGAAAGAAAGAAAGAAAGAAATGCATTTTATTCCAGATTAAGCATAAAGCAAATGCCAAAAGATAAATATAACTAAATTAAAAGTAATTTAATATTATTATAAATTTAAGAAAACCTTTGAAGCACACTACAATGTTGTTTGTGTGCGTGGCTGCTCGAGCTGGGGCGAGCGCAGTAGTGTCTAGCACGAATCATCTTGATACTATCGGAACTAAAAGAATAGAATAATTTCCACATAATAGCTTATGAGGTCGGTGCTAAGATATAGTGTATATAAGAATTAATATGCAATCTAGCCCTGACATCGGAAGCAAATATGTATAAACTATTTTATTCTTTTAGTAAATTGAATTCGGCTTTTCTTTTTTTACACTATTGAGTAGACTAAGGAATGTCACTATGTCAAGGTAACAACTAGAAAGGGGTAAGTAATATATGTTCGAATTGAAAAATAGGTATTATATGAAATAGGTTTCGTTTGATATACATTTATTCTGTTACATAATGTAAAGAAAATTCATCAAAATAACAATTTCGTTGGTGTCAGCAGGGATCGATCCCGGGTCGCTCGCGTTAACCTGAACTTCGCACTTTGACTTTGAGCTACCGTGGATCATATCTTTTTTGTTTCTATTTTATAATAACGTTACCTCCACACGAAGAATGTTTCCTAGGTATATTGTTGAGGCAGTTAACATAAGAACATAAATTTCACAAGGACAAACAATTTATTTCAGACAAAATTATTTGTAGGTATACAAATTTTTGTTCCGTGCGGGAATCGAACCCACGGCCCTTAGAGTTAAACTTATTGCTAAGCCACTCCGCCACGGAGTCGTCAAATATATCTATTATAGGGATTATGTTAGTTATATATAGTATAAATTTATAATAAATTAAAATAAATAATATCAGTATCATTCGTTGTGTTGTGTCGTTCGGACTATTGTTTATTCTGTAGCTGCGCCTTCGTCGTTTCCAATAGTGTGTCCAGGTAAAATCGGGACAGTTACAATAGCTACCAAAACAGATTTTTTATAGTCATTGTGGTCGCTATTAGTTATTTTTTTGACAAAATTCGCAATGTGTTTTTTATTTATTATTTAAAACTGATCAAATGAACGAATAATTTTTCGTCCAAACATCTTTGCAGACTCTGAACTTTCTAATTAATATAATTGTGAAAATAGTAATAAATCTTATGAACTCAAAACTACTTCAAAAAGCTCTTTAAAAATACGGCATAATTCAAAAGGTTTTAATACCTCACACCTTGATAGCCTAGATGAAATCCCTGCATCGGACGTATAATGTTAATTTATTTATTAAAACCAACAATACCTACAAACGATTGAAAAAATTGATTAATGGAAGAACTTTTCCACAAGCCTTTTGCGTTTTATTAAATGTACTTGTCTAAACAGCAGCACGTCGTAGTACGATAGAAACTGTACTGATTATTAGTAATAGAATGAAACAATAAATGACCGTCAATTAACGACATCGATGCATGGCGCAAACTGGCGATAGGCATAAGGCAGTGAGAAAAAAAAACGAGTCAACATGATTGATATCTGCATCTTGCCATGCCAACACATTACGCGCAAAGCAAACTTTGATGTTGCCTATTTAGTCCGAGTTTGGTGGTAAAATATGCAAAGCAAAAATATTTTAATGTAATAGCAGCTTACAGATATACTCAATTTTGCTGTCAAAATGATCGATCGATATAAGGTTAGTGAAAATTCGGGACATTTGGCGTCCTGATCAAGGGTGAATCGGGACGTACCCCTAAAAGTCGGGACGGCCCGCACAAATCGGGACACTAGCTTTTGCTATAGGTGTGTATGTAGGTATTGTACATACATGTACGCGGGTGGTGGCGGGAAAAAGTGATACGTCCCATCGTTGGGAAGACCCGGTGTGTATGGAATCGGACGGCGGATTTAAAAAAAATAATGGGCTAAATAAAACGAGCAATTTTTTTTTGCATATATAACATTACATGTGTTTTGATAAAATAATTAAAATAGATAAGTTTATATCCCAATACACGGAAAAAATTACATTGAAGTTGACAGTTTTGGTGATTTTATCATCATAATCATCATCATCATCACAGCCCTTCACAAGTCCTCAGTAACGCCACAAAGCACGGTCCGAGCCACCCATCCATCGTCTTCCTGGATGTCTTACCAGATCGTTACTCCATCTAGTGGGGGGTCGCCCTACACTACGCCTACCGGTACGAGGCTGCCACTCGAGAATCTTTCTTCCCCATCGGTTATCAGTTCTTCGAGCTATACTCGTATGGCCGCCCCATTGCCACTTCAGCTTCTAATCCGTTGGGCTATGTCGGTCACTCTGGTTTTACTGCGGACATCCTCATTTCTGAGTCTATCACGCAGAGAAACTCCGAGCATAGCCCTCTCCAAAGCTTGCTGAGCAACCTTGAGCGTCCTCATGCGGCCAGCAGTGAAGGAACACGTCTCAGATCCGTAAGTCATCACTGGCAACACGCACTGGTTATACACTTTAGTTTTCAGAGATTGAGGTATACCTGACGAGAAGATGTGTCGTAATTTACCGAACGCTCCCCAACCGAGTTGAATCCGTCAATTGACCTCTAGGTCGAAGTTGGACTCACCTAGTCGGACTATTTGTTCCAGGTAAACGTACTCGTCAACAACTTCGAGCATAGTGCTCCCAACAACTACCGGCATAGGTGTGACATGGACATTAAACATGATCTTTGTTTTGTCCATGTTCATCTTAAGACCTATCCATTGGGCGACACCATTGAGGTCATTGAACATAATGCTTAGGTCCTCCAGCGATTATGCCATAGGGACTATATCGTCGGCAAATCGAAGGTGAGTGATGTACTCGCCATTAATGTTAATACCGTATCCTTTCCAGTCCAGTAGCTTGAAAACGTCTCCCAATGCAGTGGTGAAGAGTTTTGGGGATATAACGTCGGCCTGTCTTACACCTCTCTGCAGTTGGATAGGTTTCGAACTCTGGTTCTGTACTCGAATAGCCATCGTAGCCCTACCGTACAAACACTTCAGCACTTCGATATACCGACAGTCAACTTGGTACTGCTGAAGGGAATGTAGCACCGCCCAAATTTCGACGGAATCAAAGGCTTTCTCATAGTCCACATATGCCAGGCAAAGTGGCAGATTGTACTCTTCGGTCTTCTGTACAATCTGCCGCAGGGCATGTATGTGGTCTATGGTACTGAAGCCTTTTCGGAAACCAGCTTGTTCGGGAGTCTGGAAGTCGTCGAGTCTGCGTGCGAGACGATTCGTAATGACTCTCGAAAATAGCATGTAGACGCGGCTCAGAAGGGAAATCGGTCTATAGTTCTTCAAGAGAGCGTTGTCGCCTTTTTTAAAGAACAAGACCACCGCGCTTCTGCTCCACGCCTCCGGAGTAGTGCCACCATGGAGGACGGAATTGAAGAGCTTCTGAAGGACGGAGGTGATTTTATAGTATTGTTTTTTTAATATTAAATCAAAATATTTTCGTAATTCATGCTTTGCTATACACTAAAAGACTATATATTCTATAACAATAACACTTAAAATGAAGTATTTTAGCTTATAGTAATGGCTGTATGAAAAATAACTCTGACACGTATTTTCAGGAAACACTATGAAGGGATTGTCTTCGCTCTAAAAAACCACCATCAAAAACTATGATTTTACATTGCAGTGCACTAAATAAAGACTTCACCCTTCTAAAGCCATAACGCTACGATATCGCCCTTAAAAAACCCTAAAACATGAAGTTTTCGACGCAGATCGCCTATGCCCTCTAAAATGTTAATAATTCCATAATGACACTTAAAACTTAGCCGTGTACTATCCTCAATACAATAAAATAAAGCAAATCAAAACAAAAAATAGATGGAAGTGCAGAACGCTGACTAGTGATTGCAGTTGATATAAACTTACTCAGAGTTTTTTTTTTAAATTGTATAACAATATTATATTTTGTACTGACTCGTTAAATACCGAGGGGGTAAAATTATTAAATAGTACCATTTAGTACTCTTATTAGTTTGTGAGTACCATATAAACATAAAATTTGTGAATATTTA